CAAGACCTCAGTGAGGCATTACCCTAGAAAGCTCTGTCGCTGTCGTGGTAAAAATGGTAGCCATCCCGATGCATTTGAAAGAATCACTGTCAGTGTGGCCATTAACTTGTCAAGCCTTCCCAGGCTCATTGCTTTAAAGTCAACCTGAATGAAAAATTTCAAGAGGTAGCAGAGTGTGTCTGCACACCAGTCCCCACCTCATTTGAACTCAAGCTGGGACTCACATAGAAAAGGAACATTAAGAGTGCATTATATATGTGATAACATATTTCCAGCATTTGTTATTCACATTAACAACTGGGCTAAAAAAGTTGTCTAAGCTCTCCATCGAATTAAGCATGGTTCTATAAATAGAGGGCATTAAATACATTTAAATTAACCGTGAGTTCTCGATTATCCTAGCAATTAGTAATACCTTGCTAGCTACAATATGTCCTATAAGAGTATGTTTAACCAAGTGAATGCAACTGAATTTAGCCATAAATAAATAAGCCTGCACAGCCCAGCTCCAGGCTACTACAGAATATGCACTGCAGCAAATCAGGCCCAGCACACCCTACGTACCGGTCATGGTAAAGCTGGGGCCAGGGCAAAATGAGCGGCTTGCTGTCCCCTAAATACACGCTGTTACTTAACACAGATTGGTAAGAATAAAACAATACCATCTTCCCCTCAGACTGAACACTATGGTCTCTTAAAATTAAATATGTTGATTTTTTTTTTTCTTTTTTCTTTAAAGTAGAAAGGCAGTCAAAGCCATCTTGGACCAAATTTATTTCACACTCACTAGCTTATCCTGTTTTTCTCTCTATATTTCTGTATCTACATGGAAAGGAATTTCAACGTGGAATAAAAGTTTCAGCAACACAATCCAGAGTAATTTTTCCCAGCTTCATTTTATGTAGGATTTTCATTTCCCTAAAGACCAGCTAAGAATGGAGCGTATGCTATGGTAAAGCCTGCGCATCCTGATGCTGACATGAACAGTAGTAGGAGTGAGGTGAAATGTTGGACAGCATGGTGCTGGGGTGGATTAAAGATGAGTCTTTATGCAAATAACTCTGTGCTGTGTGAAAGCTTCAGTATAGTTTCTTTAATCATGTTTCATTTGCTGGGCTATTCAGCCGATACTTTCAATAGCTTGCCATTCGCAGCACCTAAGATTTCATCTATCACACTGGGTTTACATTTCTGGCTTGCCTCAGCATGTGTCCAGAGTAAAAGCTGCTTTAAATATCCACTAATGGATTTGTCCTTCTTGTCTGGTTTTCTGTACTGTACTTAAGTAAGGTATCCAAACCAAGAGAGGAGGTCCATTACAGAATGAAGGATAGCTCCTATCTTCAGCTAATTGCCCCGAAGGGTATTTGAGGGGGGAAGCTTGGTTGTTAGTGACATGTCCCTGTATACTCCTGATGTGGCTTTTTAGACTTAAAGAGTACTTCAGATACCTTCCTCTGGCAGAAAGTGTTCCTGCTTGCTTTTAGCTAGACCTGTGTTCTTCAGGACTTGTTTTCACTGAGAGGACAACTTTTTGTCTTTTTCAGTGGGTAAACATACAATATTGTCGTCGTTGTGGACTGTATTTCTTACACTAAGCAAGCCTGCAGTAGGAGTTATGGTGATGGTGAATGTGCCATAGATTTGTGGAGGCCCAGCCCTGCGACCATTGGTTACTCTCTGTGGTGGCTGAAATCCTGGTCTCACTGATGCCTGACAGTTTTCCCATTGACTTGAATGAATTCAGGACATAATTAGGTGTATATGTGTTCACATATATACATCTATATATTTATCACTTAGGTAATACATAAAAGCATTTTATGGCCAGTCTTAGAGGCCTGATTGGCCTCATAAACAAAGAATCTTTATGTCTAATGCACCAGATTTCTAGCAGCCTTGTGCCACCAGGGAGCCGTTAATTTAAGGCACGTGATGTCTTCTTGAACTCCCTTGGGAGGACATTAGAGATCTACATCAGGAACTTGGGACCCAACTTCTTGGACCGAATGTAGGGCGCTTGCAGCAGCCTTCTGCTTCGTGGAGCTCTTCACCTGGAAAATGGGATCTTCTGAGTGGGGCAGCATAAACGTCAAGTGGGGTTGAGGCTAATTTTAGGATTTGAGTATTTCTAATATCTGTTTCTTGTATGAGCTCTGATAGACGATCTTCATGAGACTGAGGCATTAGCTGCTCTCCCGATGTCTCACGTGATGTAATTTCCTGCCCTTTGCAATCTTTTCCTTGGGAAGGCCTCTTATAGGCTGTAACTCCATCTAGTTTCATTAAGCGATAAAAAACCCGGTATTTCTGAGACCTCCACCACCTTGTGGAGATAACCGGTGGGCTTGAAGGCAGTTGGCCACGCTCTGAGCCGAGTCCCAACCCTGAACGCGACTCTGTAAGCCTCCTTCCCTCAGGCTAAGCCCGTGTTTCAATCCCGATGCTGGCAGTTGTACAAAACGCGGATCGTACAGGGGATTTTTAGTTCCCATGTTGATTGGGTGCCCTCCACTGTCCGTGCACCTGTGTTGTATTGGATAGGTAGACTGGTCTGCAGATATGCTAGGCAAACTAAGACCTTTTTAGTGCCAGTAAAACTGTCTATATAGTCTTCGTGCTGCGAAACACTCCCTACACTCCCTTTTACATGCGCACGCTTGCTTGGGAAAGAGCCAGTGAATGATTTAATTTTTCCTCAGGTTGCTCTCTTCACACTGCGGCGCTGGGGGCGTGTGTTTGTTTGCTTATTCAGAGGCCTCAGCAGCGGCGGTGGCATTTTCCCCACCTGTCCAGCAGTTGGGCTTGGGGGAGCTGCTCCGGCTGGGGAGGAGGGAGGCATTAGCCGCGCCGTGCCCCGGGCGTTGGCTCCCCGACGCCGGCCCCTCTGCCCCCAGGCAGGTTTGGTCAGGGCAGGCAGGGTGCTCCAGGTTTGCTTCACTGTGCCTACTGCAAAAAAGGGGTCCTGGCCTGACAGTTCTTTGATGATCAAATTGCGCTAACAACTTTAAGGATCCAGGTTTTGAATGTTTTCCTTCAAAATTGGTTTTAAGGCATGTCCTTTTTTCCCCCGTGGACGAAATTCCATTTACAGAAATGGTCTTTTTTTTTTTTCTGCCAAAAAGAAATAGAGGATTTTAGCGTTTTGAGGATTTCCGTAGGGAAATTACAGAGAAGAATTTTTCTTGTGCTGTTTCCTCTCCCAGTTGAAAAAACCTGAAAAAAAAGAGGGAGCATGACGAACTTCCTCTAAACCTTAGATCTCAGAAAAGTAAAGCTTTAGAAAAAACTTAAATCTCAGAAAAGTGAAAAGGAGAGGAGTGAATATGAAAACTTCTATCCCAGTTAACCAAACCAAATTCAAAACAAAATAAGGGTCTCCAAAATGGAGAGAAGAATCGTGTAAAACAATGCTTCCCCTAATGTTTTCTGGGGAAAACACACTTTCTCTTGTTCACTTGTGTTAGGCTGTTATTAAGAGAGTCCTTTTCTAGTCCCTTTCCTAGGAATGCATAGTTGGGCAGTTCACTGAGTTTTAGTTGGCTAAAAAAAAAGATGGAAAGATGCGAGAAGTCAGCTAAAGCAGATTAATTTCATTTGTGATATTTTCTTTTGCAGATACTTTCAAAATATAGTTATGTACACAACGGAACAGTGCACTCGTATTAAAGCAAGTAGAAATTTGTATAATTTAATGTAATTTCTAAATAGGTACAGATGTTCTTTGCTACATATGCAGTACGGTGAAGATTTCTCTGGGGACTCATGATTTTGAGAACTTCTATGTTTGATGCCATCATGGGAGATTTTTAAAGGGCTATTTTTAAAAATGCCTGCACAAATACTGAAGATTTTACATCTGTTTCAGTAACTATTTAACTTACTTTTAAAAAAGATTTTTAGATATAAAACATAGTTAGCCTGGAAAAAAACAAAACTTAAACTACTACTTTCCTATCTCTTAAAAAATCCCAAATAATTCGGGTGTTTCGCCTTTTTTTAAAAAACTCAATAAGCTAAACTGCAAGTTGATTAATAACTCTATTATATGGCAGTCTAAAGATGACATTGCCGTATATATTTAAGCTATTCAGCTGCTGTATTAGGTGCTTTAGCTTCAAAAAAAAGATTATACTCAACAGGGCTTGGCAATATGGAATTATGTTTTCTTTTACAAGATCATCGATCTAATAAAAGATTATGTGCATATATGTAAAAGACATAATTACATATTAGGTGGCATCTTTGTAAACCGAAATTTAACATAGAAAATTCTAGGACTGGTGAATACCACATTCCAAAATTACTCCTGAAACCACATAATTTAGGTATACAAAGTACTCAGAAGGCAGTTAAGTAACTCTTAAAAGGTTGCTGTTGCTCTTAACCAGAAACACATGAAAGCCCTAGTGTGTGTTACTTTCTGCTTTCAAGATCCTTGAGTAATCAGCTTTCTGTAATACCCTTTATAGATTTAAGAGAAAATATTACCCAGAGAGAGGGACAAGGGGAGCATGTGGAAATCCCTTTTTTAGCTGATAATGTTGTAGAAGCTGTTATTTCAATCCCTTCGAAAAATACAGGAGGAAACTTTGGGTCTAGTCTTCTGGTGTTAGACTCAGGTTTTGGTATCATTATGATTTTTGAAAAATACAATTTGGATAGATATGTTTGTACAGACTTTTAATAAAATGCGTAGATACTAAAGCAGATTAGGAAACTACAGATAAGTTCAAATTTGCTTTTGGTGTGTTTTATTCTTGTAGTTTGTTCTGGCTGGCTGATGGTCTAGATGTACATAATCCTGCTCCAGAGGATGAGTTCAACTAACTGAGCTTTTGAGACTTTCCCAGCTTTACATACCCATGACTTCTGAGGATACGTTTGCACTCCTTTGATTTAAACTTTTGACAAGCAGCACAAAGGAAGAACGCTCAGAACTTCTCCACGTCTGTGGTCGTTGCTCCTTTTCTAACCGAATTTCCCCTTAACATTCACAGGTACACACTGGTGGATATTTTGCGCGCCATACTTCTTTCTTTAGAAGCCATGATAGAAGACCCCGAGCTTCAAGTGAATGGGTTTGTTTTGATTATAGACTGGAGCAACTTCACCTTCAAGCAGGCCTCCAAGCTCACACCAAGCATGCTTAGATTAGCCATAGAGGGCCTTCAGGTAACCTTCTTTTCTTTCTTTTCCTGACTCTCCTTCATTTTGCAGTTCATTACAAATCTAGGTGGCTAAAAAATCCCAAACAAAACAAAAATCCAAGAACAACTTGATAGCAAGGCTATTAACACCTTAAGGTATGGGCGGGCAGACAAGCTTCAGTGGCACAAGCTAACGCGTGAGCTCAGTCAGCCAAGGGCAGTAACTCCTGGTGTGTAGGCTCCTTCTTTGCCATAAGTAAGAGATAACTCTTCTGTCTTTATTCTGAAGTTGCTGGCTTCCTGTAAATTCAGACTGTAGCTTCTGCAGCAACAAGTTAGAAGTAATCAGTTAATCTTATCATTTTGCACAGGGCTAATGAAATATGGGTTGCTGCTGCCACGCCAGGTGGGTTTTTTTTCATTGATTCCATTGGAGACAGGCTCTACATCATTTGTCCTGAAAAGTGTGGGGCACTGTGATTAGGCAGTTATCTGGGACTATTTACTTACTGAAAGTTCAGTGTGTGCTTGGTTCTTTTGCTGGGTCAGGATTAATTTGAGCAGCAGCTTCTGGGACTGAGTATACAGCAATTTAAATTTCTTTCTGCTCATTGTAAATGCACTTTACATGGCACAGGCACATTGGTGGAAAGGATACTACATAACTCTTGGCTGTCTCCTATGATCTTTAATGCTTATTAAAATGAAAAACTAGAATCTGTAAAGTAGTTGTTTGCTGTGCAAGCTTGAGTTGCTGTGTTAAAAATACCAGTAATTCCCTCCTGTGACAGTGTGCCTTGGTTTTACAAGGACATATATTCCTTTTCTGTGATGTTTTTATCATTTGTACATTTTTATTACTCATAAAACAAAATAACAGCCTTATCTTTGAACTTTCTTCACTTTGATATTGCTATTTTTGAAGAAACTTGTATAGCAGCAGTATGGAGTTTTGATCTAAATGTTAAAACAGCTTAACCGGTATTCAGCCCGCTGTTGCACACAGAAGGGTAGTGACAGTCATGAGACAAAGATCTCAATGTTCATTTTGTTGTGTTTCCTTATGCAACAGTGTGATTCCATGGTCTTGAGAACTACATCAGAAGGCAGCAGTGAGATCCGTACTCCGATAGTGCTGCATTTCCTTTTATTGCTTTCAAAGTTGTTTTCTTTTCTGTGCTGTTTTTCAAAGTTAGCCATTGTTTTAATGTTTAGAACATGAATAAATACTTTAGTAGTCTTTGTTTTTAAATGGTGGTGTGTCTTCTTGGACATTAATCAGAGGTGTTATTTTGAGGAGAGCTGCAGTGGATAATTGCATCCGAAAATATGATGGATGACCTGCCAAACTTCAGGTGGGCTCTGAGACTCTGTGTTCTCCTGCCATTGATTGGTTCATTACTGAGTTGAGGTGAAGTCCATTGGCTTAACTTACCCATGCCCCCAGCTTTGTATGTTCGAATATCCCGAGTCTGATGGTGGCCAGCACGCAGGGCATCATTTTGTGCCCACTGTCTTCAGTCCTGGTGGCTCCAGAAATGTAAAACTGGGCACGAAATGCTCCAGAAGAGGGAATGAGAAGGCACTGAAAAGGCAAACGTGAGATAAAACTCTCCCAACACTTGAGGAATCTGTCCTAATCTGTGACAGATATTGCTATCTTTTACAAGGCCTTTTACCACAAGTCTTTTGAAGAAATCAATTAGTTGGGCTCTCATAACACAGTGTTTAATTTTCTGTGGAGAACCACTGAGGGAATGAGGGCTAACATGCTAGCAAAATTAACTGACACTCTGGTGATATTTTCCCAGTAGTTATACTACCTGGGGGGTTGTTTCTATTTAATTTCTTTTTTTTTTTCTTTTTCTTTTACTTAGACATTTTTCTATGTAAAGATATATTAGAGTCAATGGAAAGGACTAAAGACAACTGTACTGAGCATCTTGGAAAGAGAACCTCACTTCAAAAACAAGTGTGATCAGGAAGGACATAAGAGGAAAGCATGGTGGAAGGGTGATACACAGAGACCCTGGGCAAGGCGCAGGTTTATTTGCACCTTCTTGCAAGAGTTCCTGCCTAAATGTTACATTCCCTTACCCTCAACAGAGACTGTCTTTTCTTTTATTTTGGACAATAATGCGCAGCAGAAACATCGTTCTGAATGATGTCAAAGTAAAAAGTGCTTAGTCAGGTGGTATGAAAAAGAACAAGAACAACTCACACACACTGTTTATTTATGGTCTTTGTAAATACTCTGTATTTAATCAGAGAAATGGAATTTACTTTGGCTTATAAGATTTAACAGGGCTCAAGATGCTGAACTTTACCATTTGGGGAATTTAAATATTTGTGTAACTTTGGTGGAAAGGGACAGGGAAAGTGGGATTAGTGACCACTGAATTTGATGTTCGCCAAATCCCTTTGCCTCCTGAATGAAATCTACTAAATTTGCATTATATTTGCTTAGCTTCCATGGTGAGCAGAATATTCAATACGGTACGTACCAAAGCGAGTTAACTACAAGCTATGGCATTTCTGGGCTCTTCACAGCTGCTTATTTTTTAGGAAATTGCTTTTGAAAGTAAGATAAGTAAATATATACAGTTTTCTACTGAAGGCAAGTTCTGCTGTACACTTTGTCTGCATGTGTATGTTAAACAGGAGCATGAAAAGAATCATACCCCTAACTGAATTGTATACATTAGAAAAACCTCCTAGATAGATAGTTGTTTTCAGGAAAAGAGCCTTTTGGCCATGGAATTTTTAATGTTAAAGGACAGTGATTATCTGTAAACTAATGTGAATTTCTAGCATATCCATCCCAACAGAGCTGTGCCAACCAATTGGTGCCCTGTATGCCAGTGCTGATTTTTAGATCAAATGGTTTTGCTAGCCAAGAAGCAAAAACCTCCTGTGGAGGTTGGGGCACTCGGCTGGGACTCTTGATGCTCCAGTCCTAGCTTATACACTGGCCTTGTGCTTTTGGAAAAAAGGAGCAATACTCTTCACTGAGGATGCTGGTGGCTACAGCATTTATGCTGCTCCTCATCAGTGAGAAGGAGGATTTGCACTTAGAGCCCCTACACCTTCCGTACTGAAGAATAAGAACATAAGCAAATGCAACATGTAATACTATTTTCTGAGAAGGGTTTGTCTGGATTAGGTGCCTAGGCGTATCTAAGAGCTCAGAGCTGTGAAACCTGAGCAGAAGGAAAATATTCTTTGAGAGGTGAGACCGAAGCCCATGCTCTGACTTCAGCACCTTGTGTTGCCTCTCCGCAGTGTATTCAGTGATGGTGTTTGTGCATCCCAGTCTTTAGGTGCCCACTTCTCCCCTGACGAGAGCTATTCCACTGAAAGATTACTGTTAAAAGTGTCTGCTAATTTGGGGTGTCCACTGTGACAAGCCATGGTCTGATTTTCAGTCACCTTTTATATGTTCGGAGTTCAGCTGCCATTTGTTTTTGATCGGGAGGATTCAAGACTTCTAAAGTCTTGATCCTGAACCCCCAAGCCAGGAGCCTGAATTCTAGCATGGCCTGAATTTAGAGCTCCTCCTCAGATGCTCCTCATTTGAATGCAAGTAATGATGCATGGGCTGCCACCTCTTTGAAACAAACGGTAAGAAGCAGCAAACTGAACTCCGCTTTCACCCCCTGAAACTCCGCCGTGTGGCACCTTACTGAAAACTGCAAAGATGCTTAATGGAGTTAAATAAACCACCACGCAAACACTGCCACTGGAGCTAGCAGAGTAACTGCCTGCAGTAGGTTGTCATCCTCCATGTGAACCCGCACGACAAAGAGAGTGGGCACTTTGCTAGCGTTTTGCAGATACTTGCTGTAAGCAAGGCGTGATTACTTGTGGGGATCTTGGCTTTTATTCAGGCTCTTTGATTTAGCTGGCACAGACTCCTCTGCCCATTCCTCCTCCCGTTTTCCCTCCAAGCAGCCTTTGCCCCAGTGCTATCACTCCCCAGTTCCTCACCCCACTCCTGTTGGTGTTGCTTTACTTTGTACTAGACTTCACTGATGTATTTTTTTTGTCTCAGCATCCTGATGTCATGCTCCAAAATCTCCGTCATCATGGGTGATTGCATAGCATGTTAGACTCCTTAGGAGATCTTAGCCTTTTGTGGTCTCACTGTCCAAATGCTGTCCACATCTGGCGTCTAATCAGCTTCAAATCTCCCAACTTCAAATCTCCTCTTAACCAGTGTTCCCATTGCTCTTTGTGCCACTCTGGAAAGCAGCACTAGAGAGTGAGTTCCTGATCTGTTCACATATCAAGTGAGTCCTCTAGCCACCAGGCTATTAAGGAAACTGTCCTTGTAGTTTCTCAGGCTGGAGCTGATCTGCTTGGTATATATGACTCTCATGGGGCTGGGCAGGAGATTTTGGGAGCTTCTGGGGATGTGGTGGAATGACATGGCATGATCTGGGAAAAGATGACTTTTTGTATCTGAAGTTTTCTTCTACTTCAACAAAGTAGCCATGGTTAGTGTGGAGGCCAATGAAAATGCTCATAGTTGACATTTTTCCATCAGTTCTGTCAACAGAGAAAAACATCCAATTAAAATAATTGCAGCTTGAGAGAAAGAAAATAGAAGAGATTCTTCTTGTACGCGCAGACTGCCTCTTTCATGAGCTTTTGCTAAATGCTAATCACTTTTCTGTTTTATTTCTTTTTATCAGGCAACTGAATCTATCTGTGTTAAATAAAGATAGTGACTAAATTGCCCTGATTAAGCTGAAAAACTACTATTATGCTAAGGTGAGTGGCACCAGCGTGAGAAAAGAAGGGCTTGTAGCACAAACTCGGTGTAGGGAGTTAACTCTTGGCACTGTGATTGACTTCCCGTTCTCTCTGGTAGGCCACAGTTCAACAACTGTATGGTTAGGACCATTCCTCAGTTTCAAAATATATAATTATTTTTGGAAGTGATTTTTTCTGAGTCAATGTCTAATTATTGCTCTTTGCTTCAGTATCTTAAGGCCATGAAGGGAATAAATAGTATTCTTCCTC